AGACCGTGGACGGTTCAGAAACGGAAGGAGAGCCACAGTATGGCTAGTGGTCAAACCTTCCTCCCATGAAACCCGCCAACAAGTCTGAACATCTTTGCTTTGAGTTATGTGCAGCTACACAGAGATTTATTGGAAGCATTCGCGCCGCGAAGGGATTAGACCGCTGTCTGGTTCTTGAGGGTTTTTCTGAACTTGCTGCCACGACCGACCTCCGATGTTGCTCGGTAAAATTATGCGTTCAGCAGGCAGGGCTGGACGCGCGGAAATTCTCCTCCACCAGAGATGTGGAGCTATGGAATGTCATTTTCGCAGACCTTATGAGGTCACCATCGGCGGAAATCTGTTAAGGGAACTGTGACAGATTTAGGTCCCGAAATGAGTGAGAGCAAGGAGGGATTAAACTCAACCCTTAGGAATCGCGCCCAATTTCTCATACTATTAAGGCTACTTGATCTATATAAGCCCACACGGTTGATCAGTTTTGCATTACAACCAGGGTGCCCAAAAACCCAAGCCCCTTTCCCGCAACGAACTGAATCGAACAACTGCTGTTTCTCTACACTCTACGCTGTTTTACCATTGCTTCCTTCGTCGAATCCTTATGGTATTTCTACTTAGCAGGCTCGATTACTGGATTTTCCCTTCTATATATACACATTATCATGTATAATCGGATCCAGCCTATAGGAGGAACTGGGTATACACTATTTCGTATTGCATTATGATTTTCACTAACTATTTGTGTATCCTTTTCCTCCCTTGCACGCATGTGTTTTACCGTGCTAATTCCTGACGTCCATTAGAATATGGACGGAGCTTTCGATGTTGCCAACCTGAAAGTCAACGATTTGCGGGATGAGTTGAAACGACGCAGTCTAAATCCCATTGGAACGAAAGCAATTTTGACACAGCGTCTTCAGCAGGCCCTGAGCGCCGAGGGTCTTACGTTGCAGGATTTCGCGAAGTCCCTGACCGAGCGTGACACTAGTGCAGCTGCACCACCCGCACCGACTTCTCCTGCGAAGCCTGCCCCCGAACCCGAGTCTCAAGTTCTGCCTAGTGGAGATACAAATGTAGAAGTCAAACCAGAAGCAGAGGAGCCCGCAGCCAACACCAATGTCGATTCCCAAGAAGAACCGAAGGTTCGCACCCTTTATCGGTTTACTATTGATGATTTAGTCTATGGGGGAGCAGAAAGAAGAACCTGAGCCGGTTGCCGTCAAGCGTTCCAGGTCTCGGTCTCCGAGACGGTCACCTTCACGCGAACGTGAAAGGGAAAAGGAAAAGAATCGGTCTCCTCCAAGACCCTCCAGACATCACAGTTTTTCAGTCGACGATGAAGCAGATGGCTGGGAACTGAAGGAGGACGTCTTTCTGGACGGCTACAACTGTGACCTCAGTCTGCTGGTTGATAAGTCCGGCTATTCTGCCAAGCCGATGACTACGGGTGGTTTTTCACTGATGTGGGCGGGCGTACGTGCGAATTATGGCATCCGAAGGGGGAAAGTGTTTTTTGAAGTACGCCTGCTCAAACAAATTCCAGTCGAAAATTTGGACTCCTTCTCAGGGGGTGCAAGTCATGTATTGCGGGTCGGGTGGTCTACTGAGGCGGCGGGCTTTGCTCTTGGAGAAGACCCGCTTTCCTTTGGTTACGGTGGAACTGGCAAAAAGTCGTGTGATAACAAATTCGTCGATTATGGCTGCAAATTTGGCGAGGGCGACACTGTTGGGAGCTTTCTCGTAAGTTGATTTTCCCTGAAGGTTCATATACCTAGGAATTAACTGATTCCGAGGCAGTCATAAGCTTTGCAGTGAACGGAGTTAACCAAGGCGAATGCTTCCGGGTGTCACTTTCTTCCCTCGGTAGTGATCCGGCACTTTTCCCCCATATTTACGTAAAAAATGTCGAATTTTCCGTGAATTTCGGTCAGAACGACACTCCGGCTTGGTTTGCACCATCCTTCGAAGGTAAGCCCGAATTTCTTCTCAATTTACTGTTAGACCCGGCTTCATGGAAAATTATGAACGAAACCGCTATCGCGGACCGTGTCCATGGGCGTATGCCTCCGGCCTCGAAATCAGAGTGTGAGGTAACAATGATGATCGGACTTCCCGGCTGTGGCAAGACGTACTATGCCGAAAACCTGTGCAAAGAACACAAGGAAAAGCAGTTTAATATGTTGGGCACGAATCTTATCCTGGACAAGATGAAGGTTAGATGTTGCATGCTTACTACATTCACACTAACCTTTGAACATGCCTCAGGACTCTCCTGTCTGTTAATCCGCATAATTGTTAGCCTAAGCGCCTCGCCGTCCGTAAAACACTTGTCCAGGTTTAAGTGGGTAGTCTATAAAAGCGTTGCCTTACTGGCTTACCGTGTCAGCATGCTTAATCGACACGTCTCGAGACCACTGATATTATCCTCAATAATAAGTTTCGCTTACGGCGAGGATTAAAGTTAAATGGCGCGGTTGTTAGTGATTTGTCCGATGTCTATTTCGTGCGTTGTCCAGCCATCCTGGTTGTACTTTTCAATAAACGTTTTCCTTCTATCTGCCTGCGGACCGTCGCATAGTTGCTTCCTGGTTTTAGTGCGCCTTTCTTCTGAATGTCCCGTCACCCGTCGTTTTCGTGTGTTTTGTGCCAGTAAAATAAACGTGCCTCATTTTTTTCGTAGGTCACCGGTCTCAACAGGAAACGGAACTACGCTGGGCGTTGGGATGTCCTGATCGAGAAGGCGACTCAGTGTTTAAATATTTTAATATCGCTTGCGTGCAAGCGTCGCAGAAACTACATCCTTGACCAGGTACGTTCTTACCGTGTAGTCTGCCGCCTAATGTACACCATGAACTGCGTCAATGAATATGCATATGATGTTTTCCCTCCATAACCTATTGTGTATTTACTCGAGTGGATTCTCCAGCGTGCTAAATTTCCCCCTTTACTAAGGGACTGAAATGGCCGCTTAGGTTTGTAACAAGCCTGGGCATATTTTTGTTAGTGTCATTCTGTTGCTCAAGTTGTCAGTGGGTGTCTACAACAAACTTTTGAATAAAGTACTCAAGAACCCGGCGACAAATTTACTGTTCCCCATTTGAGGTAGCTTCATGTTCATTTTGGAATGTTTATTCTTTGCCCCACTACTCACTGGTTCATTGTGCCTTGTGGCTTACAGATAATTGATCATTCACAAATCGATTTCGATTGTTTTTTCCATATTTGGATCGGTTACTCGGAACCCGCCCACCTGATTCTCGGCTACACAGACAAATGTCTATCCGTCTGCACAGCGTCGTAAAATGCGCCCTTTTGAGGGTTTTCAACGGAAGGCGATTGTTATCGTTCCCACAGACGAAGAATTCAGACGGCGGATTGCCCAGCGCGAAAAAGAAGAGGGCAAAGAAGTGCCTGAGAATGCGGTACTCGAAATGAAAGGTAGTTAACTTTGTGCGATGGGGCGATAACATTGGCGTGCAACTCGCTACCGAAACTGGCCTTAATTCACTATCTGATACGTTGACATTTTACTTCAGTTGTCTCAACTGTAGCAGGTAAGTTTAGCTTCAGTAACATTGTCTACCTGAGAATAAATGAAGTACAAAGGACAGGTCGTGTCCTCTTATCCGCCCCTTTGGGGTTGGTGTTTACATATAGCCGAGAGTTGCTGCCACGCACCTATCTGCTGCACACTTCGATAAGTCTTTCAGGCATCCAACAGCATTTAAACCACTTTTTCATTTATGAATTCCGATGTCTACTATGCCGTATAGGATGCAGACGGAAATACCTCTTGAATATCCCCAAAGGGTTTGTCGATCGAGCTCAGTTAGAGCTTTTGTTGGAAACCAAAACAGCGATGACAGTGACCACAACATGCGCTTTAAAATACCACCACTGTCCAGGGAAATTTATCCCATGTCTTAATTAAGACTGTTGGAAGTACAACCCTAATCTACTCAACTTTCTTTTAGCCAACTTCGAGATACCAAAGCCTTCGAGCGAAGATCCGTCGAGCCCTTTTGATGATGTGATTTTCACCGAATTGCAACGAGGAGAAGCTGAAGAGCTTGTGAAGAAGTACAATGCTGAGGGACGCTCCAGTCGACCTCCACCAGAAAAGCGGCAGCGAATGGACCATTCTCGTGATCACGGTCGAGAAAGTCGTTTCAGCGACCGCGACAGGAGCGACCGTTCGCGACCTGACAGCTACAGTCGCTCGCCAAATTATCGCGATAATCGTGATCGCCGAGACATGAGGTGCTTACGACTTCAAATTTATGACCGAATATATTCATTGCGAACGTCTACTAAACACCCGTTTTCCCTTTCAGAGGTGGCTACGATAACTATCGAGACCGCAGCGACGACCGAAGTAGGTTTAGTCGTGGTCCACCTGGCAGAGATCGTGGCGACAGTTATGGCCGAGGTGGGAGATTCGGGTCAAACGGTCCTGACGCTCGCTTCGGTCGCGGTCCTTACGGGGGTGGAGACCGCCAGATGGGGCCACCACCATACGGCGCGTATCCTGGTGGCCCAGGCCCTCGCGGAAGAGGTGGACCCGGACCCCGTGGCGCGTACGGTCCGCCTCCCGGGGGAATGGACTATCGCGGTGGACGTGGCGCCGGCGTGAGTCCAATGAATGGTCCGGGGGGCTTCCGTGGCGGCCCACCGCCAGGTCGTCTGGATGCTCAAAAGCCAGAGAACTTTGGCGGTTTTGATCAACCTCAATCAGGCTATGGTGCCTCTGCTGATAAGTTCTCAGCGGAATCTTCCGGCCGTCAGCCCTCCCCGAAGCCTTACCAATTTAGTAGGGGTGGGACTGCTGGTCGTGGCATGCCCACTAGAGGCGGCTCAACAGCTCCCTCGCAGGGCCCTACTTCCGGTGGCTTTAGCCGAGGTGATGACTCCGAAGTTAAGTGGGCAACTGGGTCTACCCGTGGTGGCATGGACCGAGGTCGCGGCATCCCTGGTGGACGCTCAAATTACCGTGGAAGTATGCCTCCAGCGTCGTCTTACGGTGACTCTTACGGAAATTATGGAAGACCCGACAATTACACTGCAGGCTATGCTGCGTATGGCGATGACGAGTCTACAAACTTCAGCCAAGCCCCAAGTGGAGCACCTCAAACTGGCGGTAGTCGTCAAAGTGGCTCGAGATTCGGTACTGCTCCATCTAAAGGAGGCCAAGAGTCCTACTCAAGCTACGAGGCGTACGGAACAAAACCCGAAGGTCTGTCTGATTCTGAGTTTTGTCGATTTAGACATCAAACATTACCCATTAAAATTAACTTAGTGTCTCTCACCAGGGTATGAATTGGAAACAATAAGTCAGCGTTTATTACTGTCCAAGTTCGCCATCCATGAAAATGGATTCAACCAGGAGATGCCTCTCATTTAGTGTAACGGCAGCATGTAATCGGTCAGAACAGACTTCCCCAGGCTTTTGTATTGATCTTTTTGACCATCTAATAGTGGGCGGTCACATTGCCTGTATAAGTAACTGACCTTCAGCTAATCCGATTTTCATTTAACTCGATTGTGAAAGAATGGGCGGTCTCGGTGAGCTTCGGACCCACGGCAGCAAGGGCAATCGCGTCAAACGAGTTATTAAAATCTTCCAGAAGCACCGACCGGTCTAATTTTCCTTTTTTATCGATCCCTATCTACAGACCAGAAAAAGACTATCTTTAATCAACACTAACGTGCCTGTTGTTAATATGTAGAACGCGGTCGTTACTTTGTGGGTTTGATCTCTGCTGTCTTAGAGACAAACGGCCTAGTCAGTGCGTTCAGTGGGCGTAGGCATTTAATTTCTTAACGACAAACAAAGCCAATTTCCACATGCTCAAACACTTTAGGCACCAATGTTTTTAAGGTACATATCACCACATTATTTGCGTTGCATTGACTGTCATGTGTTAGGCGCCAGCCTAGTGTTCTGAGACTGCTAATGAAATGTTTTGACAGGTGAATTACTTCATATGTAAAGCTTAGACATTCTGTTGTAAGATACATTCGATTAGAAAAGTCTGGTAGTTGACTGTCCTTCCCTTTGGAGCTCACCGGTTTTCCACCGGCCGTCAGTGGGATACCAACTTTCCGAGGGGTCCATGTAACCCTAAGGTAGCTCCACGAATGGTGAGTTAAGATGAAGTTCGCGAGTTAAACGTGCTGAGTTACGACTGGAAGCACGTACAGACGGTTTTCACTTGCCACTATACAGTGTCTTGCTTTATTTGGGCTGCGCGGAAGTGCCCTCTCGCTTTGACCACACAGTGGAACGCCGCAAGTAGTGCGATAATTTTGCCAGGTGGTTTAGCCCGGTTTATATCTGAGTGTGGTGAGAATAAGATGGTAATGGTAACAAGTAAGCCAAACGGTCCTTAACCAAGGTGATTACGTCTAGGTCGTTTACAAAATTAACATTTTACACATTCAGGAGGGGGTTTGGAATCAGAACCGAAAGTGCGCGCTGCCCGTGTCTATTTAAAACTGTAGACTTCTTGCGGCTGCTATTGCCTTGTTCAAGATTGCCGAAATTTTTCAGTGTTTGTGTGTGAACGTTGTCTGCCACAAATAGTCCGTGGTTAAAATTTCGTCCCCTATCTGTCATTAGTAGTGCGAATTTAGGCTTGCATTCTCGTTCCGCATCTTATGCTGAAATAGGCCAGCAAGACTTTCGCTGTTACTCATCAGACTCGAAACAAACGGTCCTTCCGCGTGACGTTCCTAAAACGGAGCTCATACTTGGAGACTTAGAAGGTTGGGCAGCCTGGTATACAAACGACTAGTGCTCTTCGGTTTTTCGGCTGTTTCCTCCCTAGTACATTTCGCCTACTCAATAATAGCTGGTAACTCGTCGTTCACTATAGGTGACCAGGACACTGGATTTCGCAGTAGTCTTGGAGGCCGTGGTGGTGGCCGTGGGTCCTTCTCGCAGCAGCCTGGTCGCCCTGGTCCAAAGCCACAAACTGACTCCACATTCCGCGGCGCAAACCCGCCTCCCCCTGGGGATGCGCCGAGTTATGGCTATGGCGACTATTACGCGTCGGATCCCTACGGAGGAACCCAGCCGCAATCAGGCAACCGCTCCTACAACGCTCAGTCAAGTGCAGTCGCCAAACCTGGCCCCCCACCAGCAGCCGGAACCCAACAGCTTCGTCAGCAAACTGGCTCATTTGGAGGTGGTGCTTCCGGACTTCCTCGAGGTGGCCGACCCTCACGTTTCAGCTCACAGACAGATGACGCAGTGATTAGTGGAACCAACCCCACCGCCCCATACCCACCGACTGGTGGAGGCAGTCAGGGCGGCTATCCATACTACGGCGGCATGAACGCCTCATCAGGCTCCTCGACAACTGGTGGCGCACGTAAGGACGTGAGTAGCGTGGGTGCACCAACACGCGAACGCACGCGGTTCGACCAGGGCCCACCCTCATCGGCCTCATCCGCACCGACGGGATCTAATCGACAAGACCAGCCATCATCTGGTCAGTCACAACAGGTATGCACCCCCCAAATGATGCCGTTTAACACATTTCTGAAGTCGCTCTGCGACTGCTTTATGTTGTCCACATCCTTGCTCTGAATTACTGTGCTAATCTTTTCTTGCATTTAGTCTTACAATTACGGCTACGGTCAACAGAGCCAAAAACCAGACTACTCTGGCTACGGCGGTTCCTACGGGTCCTACGGAAATACCAGCAGCGCCTATGGGTCATACACAGGCTATACGAGCGGATCTCAGCAGCCATCCAGCGCAAGTGGCCCTGTAACAACCACGGCACCGTCTCTGTATGCATCGGCTGTGGGGGGGTCGGCAAAACAGTCGACACCGAGCGATTCTAGCCAGGCAAATGCCTCCTCAGCCTATAGTTCATACTACGGTTCATATGGCGCAACCGGAGCTGCATCCGGTATCGGGGCTCCAGGAGCAAGTGCAGCAGCGACGGCCGGTGGTCAGGCGACAGCCCCTGGAAACGCCGCGGCGGCGGCCGCGGGTTACGATGCAAGTTTCTACGCTGCACAGCAGTTCAATGCGTGGCAGTACAATCAGGCCCCATCCACTGCCGGAGCATCAACTGGAGCTGCCCCGTCTGCCTCTGCCGCTGTAGGGGCGGGTTCCTCGTCGACCGCGGTGCCTCCGGCGACAAATCCACAGTCTTACCAAGCTTATAACTATCCCTACTCCAATTACGGTTACGGGGGGTCCGGCGCTTCTGGACAACCCGGTCCTACCCAGTCAGCCAGTCAATACTATTCTGGCTACCAGTAACACCACTTTGTCCAGTGTTTCATTACATCGTTCACTGCCGTGGCATTCTGTACCACTCGGCTCTTATCTTTAGTCGCATTCAACACTGCTGCATCATTTGACCATGTGCACTCCTTTGCAGGGGTTGAGTTGGAGCCGTTTTTCACATTTTGTCATTGCTGTTATACGTAATAGTGAGGATAGACTGAGCCGTCTTGCGTCATCCTGTTGTTTTTTGGTCAAGCATGATGACAGTACTCCCTACGACTTAAACGCCAGCGGGCTTCCTACATTAGGCGAAGGCCGGGGTGAGTTCTTATAGAAGATAATCTGCAAACTCACGAAGGTGTGGGACGCCTATTCAGGAAGGTGTTGGATCCGACGTGCAACTTAACTGCCAGCTGCGTGCACAGGGCCCCGTGGTGTCAGCCTGAGTGTGAATTATAGTGTTTTTGTAGATTCCTTGGTCCAAAGTATCTCCGTGGAGAGAATACTTTTTTGACTTTTTCTTGCTGTAACAAGAAATCGTGCACGAAGCTTCACCAGGCCTCTGCTTTCTAGTCACTGGGTATACGTTTATTTCTCGAGCTTCCCCACTTGAGATATCATCAGTGGTCTCAGTTCACTTAACTTTCATTAGCAATTGGGGTATTTCCTTACAACCTGGTGGCGGTGCGTCCGCCTAACCAAGTTTAGTGAAAGCTCCGACGTCCATGCGTCTGGTCTGTTCCTGCAGAGGAAGAACTAAGGACCAAAATACGCACGGAGTAGAAACGCTCATCACTGGAAGTGTGGTGCTGGTAATCTGATTACCCGCTTACACTAGCTCATGCTACCATAAGATCCGGTGGGGACAAGTCGGTAGTCCCTTTGCTTGCACTCCCAGTATCGACCTTCTACCTACAGCAGTTTGATGTGCTGTCGCCCTCTTGGCGTGACCTTTGGCCCCGCCACTTGGAAGCGGGTGCTTTGACTGGCCTAGACTGAGTGATAACTAACGGGACTCAGTCTACTCTGAGGAAGGGTTGCCGAAAGTGCGTTGGTACGCGATGGTTCCGCTTGCCCAGGTTCCTTTCATCGGTCGAAATTGCCTACCAGAAAATCTGACCGCCGCACCCGTTGGTTGTGTTCCACATAGGGGGCTAGAGGCCGTTATGCTTGAGACACTGTCATCCCTGTTACCCCGAGTTGTAGTTAACATGATGAGAGTGTTAGAATCTTTGTTACATGTCCTGAGGTCCTTATCAGTCAGCTGGGTTCTTCACCAGCGGCTCATATGGTGAGTGTGATGGAGTGTCTGGGTGTGCTGTGCGTGTTTGGTTGTATTCCATTTAAGACTGGGTAGCGTTGCAAAAGGGGTATTGTACGAAAATTGGTGGTCTACGCACATTTCACCCATCGGCCAGGGTCAGGTACTTGGATCGCCACTCATACAGCTGGAAGACGTCTAATAGAGTAGTCATGCGTCTGGCCTCGAGGGGCTATTTCACCCCTGTCATCGGGGACTGGTGCGTCCAGTGTGCCGCGCAATTCTTGCTGCCTCTAGTTTTGCCAGTATTTGTATCTCCCGGGGTCGCCAGTATCCTCTAATCGGCCCGCGCCGTCCATCTTTAATCACCACGCTGCATTATCTAGAGTTCTCGGCAGCTGCTGCGCAAAGCAGGAATCCGATCAATGTGCGTGAGCGGTGGCACCACGGCCGTGCCCCCTCCATATACTTTGTCAATTAATTATCTCGGCCACCAATCTGGACTGCATTGAAGTCGAGTTCGTGGCACCTTAAGCGGCTTAAGACTGTCTGCGACATTTGAACGTCAGGTCCCTTGCTCGTGAATCTACGTCTGACCGTCGACCAGTTTGTCAACATGGTTTGAATAGCCGCTCCACTACAATAAGTTGGCGTCTGCAGGCTACTCTTGATTTGGAGTGAGACCCCTCGGCGGTGAAGTGCCTAGCTAGCACGGGACGGGAACGACTGATGCCGATCGGTCCCCCGTGAGACGGGCTGGTTTGTTTCCTCGGCTACGTTCCTTGGATGCCGTCAATCTCCCAGTAAATCCGTCTTGAAGTTTTCGTTAGGTTCACTATGCGCAGAGGGCCACCCCAATATTCAGACACACAGCTTTCGTAGTACACCCAAGTCTTATTGTTTTGTTATAACGTATGATGACAGTTCGACGGTCGATTCCGACGATGTCCACCGTGTGCCTCCCCCCCCCACCCCCCAGCAGGGTGGGCTCAAGGATGGGGCTTGCGGGTGATTCAGTTTATAGTGATAGTAGACTTGCGATGCATCTATCCCGCTCTCCCCTTCCAATCGGATTCGGTGTCCCGACAGAGTCAAGAAGGTCGGCAGCGGGAGGTGGCGCAAGTGGCTGACCACACCACCCATGTATGATACTTGTTACGGTTGCGCAGCCCAATAACGCATGCTAGACCCTGATCTGGCTTCCGTGTTGATCCCGTGCATCCACCGCGTGGCCCGTTGCGGGGGAAACAATCAGCCGGTCAAGGGGGCGTGGATTGCATTGTTTTGCATTAACGAGCGAGGGAATAGTAAAGAGTGAATTGGGAGATGTAAAGAGGGGAAGGCATGTCAAACTAACAATGAAACGGCTGTAAGACAGGACTAACCGTTTTTTCCTTAAGTGCTGTGCCGTGGTCCCAACGATGATAACATCCGCGATAAGACAGGGTTCTATGCGGACGAGACGGCTAGTTTCGCGTCAGGAACGCCATCGCCGCGGTCGTAGATGGCTCCTCTAACGCCTCCACCTGCTCTTCTTCCTCTGAGGACGGGAAGAATCGCTCGCGCGCGTAACTCTCGAGGTAGGAATGGAGCCAAAACTTCCGGGACTTCGGTGGAGCAGTCAATGCGGCAGACGGATGTGGCCGTAGAGGGCGCCGATGTCTATTGGGCGGCTCAACCGCACTCTCTTCTTCCTCCTGTAGTATTGTCTACAAGTCTGGGAGCCGCTGGTGTTGAAGGGGACTGGGCGCAGATCTATTGGGGTCAAAGAGATTATCCAGTCAGCGATGCATGTTCTTGTTACTGCCATCGACCAGACGCAAGGAGGAACAGGGGGAGATGGAAATCCCTCTCCCTGGGTGGATTATCTAATCGCCGGACCGTAACACTTCGACGTGCTTAGGGCAGCGGCTCCTCGTAGGTAGACTGCCCAGCCAAATAATTAGTGCTGCCGCTGTTGCCGCCCACAGCTTAGTGGTGACGTCTTTCGGCCCGCACGAAGTGCAGTATACAGGAGTGACATTGGCACATTCACAAGTAAAGGGAACAGTTAAGTACTGTGCCGAAATATTTAAACATTTCAATAATTGCAGAAGCGCTATTTTCTGGAACGTTATGACTTTCTTCTGACTTACGCGCTTTGCCAGAAGCCTTAGAAGAAGCAGGACGTTTAGGAATCACCGCAGGGTACGATTAAAAATATACGCAAAGGGTAAAAACAAGACACAAAGATACACAAACCACAGAGGTAGTCAGTGAAACATTAGAATGGGTGAGGTGTACGCGGTGAACTGGCGGAGGTGCAGGGACTCACAGCATGTAGCAGTGCGCGCCTCCTAGCTCTCCATCGCTTTGTCACGCTGCCCTCCTTTTGGTCTCACAATCACCATCGAGTCGCTGCTGGGATGCGCGAGGCTTGCCACTAGTCCCACGAGCGCTCGACGCCCATCAACGCTGGCGCCTTCTCTGACTGGCTGGCGACACTGGGGCAGAGTGAAAGACACGCGCGCTGGGGTCTAGGCACATCAACGGCGGACACAAGCAACACAACCTGCCTGGAGAGATCGCTCGCGGCGACTGCTTGCAGAGCCTTCGTGTACGTTTTCCCTCAGCAGTAAGAGTTGCCCAACTCAAGCCGTCTCCCCGGACTTCTGATTTGGAAATCTTTGTTTTGTCGAACATAGCACCGCGACAAGCACATTCCCACAAGACAGAGTCGTGGGGATCCGGTCGATCAGCGCCAAGGAAAATGAATGGAGCTCCTGGACTGGCTACTTTGCAAACGCTAGCCAATACCGTGTCCAGTACCAATGCGCCTAGGTAGTTCGGCCTTACAGACTGCATATTCTTCCCTGAGGGCTTTGTGTGTGGAATTTGCATATCGTATGGCGAACGTTTTTAGGAAAAAAATATATTTTCTTGATATTTTGCTGGGTTCGCATTAACATTTAAAGGTTACTAAGGTTTTTTTATTTTCAGAGCGCATTTAGTCACGAAAGTAAATGAAAAGGATTAGAGAATACTTTAGATAGACTCCACGAAAAAAGAAATCCGCGAATACTGAACCCCGATTAGGGAGGGGGTCAAGATGGTATCTCGCGAATATGGGATAGACCTCCCGTCATCTTTTGAAAAGCTGTCATTTCCTCAATGCTATAAAGCTTTGGAGGACGCGTGGTTTTGGCATCGTGTAGATTTTACGAGATTTCGGGAGTTGCGTCCCCTAAAGTATTGACTATTCAGTTTCGGTTTGCATGGTTCAGGGATTAAACTTGCAGTGATTGTAGATGCATGAATTTATTTTGGGCGATGGGTTAATGTGACGTAATGAAAATCCACTTACTTAGAAAATGAAAGGAATGTTAGCTCGTGACCTCTATAGCATCATGCACAACATCTCTTGTTATTTACCATTCTCTTAAAATAGAGTAGTATAGGACTAAGGATCATACGAAAATGTTTCCCACTGATATCTGTGAACGGACAAAATTGCTCGTAAACTTACTCAGGTGGAGCATACGATATAATGTTCCCAGACCTAAGCCACTTTTCAAAGCATATCACGATCAAGGGTCAAATATAAGTTCAGAGTTGCGTCAGAAATGCAAGATAACCCCTCATTTTTCTTTACCATATGCAGTTATTTTCAGAACAAAGAAGAAAACTGTCAGTGATTGTGATGCCTGAAAAAAGGGACATAGCCGGTGTTTTCTAGAATTCTTCCTCGTGGACGGACCTTTGAGACCCATGGGGCGCATTGTCATTACAATGC